TGCACGCTCCCCCTCCAAGTGGCCGGGGCCACGAGTCGCGGAGCCTCTCCTACCAGCGGGCCGGGGACCCCCGCCGCGCCCCGTGCAGACGGCCTGGCGCTCGCCTTGGAGCCCGCCGGGGGCGCCGCCAACTTCTTGGCAATGGTGGACAACCTGCAGGGCGACTCTGGCCGCGGTTACTACCTGGAGATGCTGATCGGGACCCCTCCGCAGAAGGTAGGTGGGTGGGCGCTCGCTGGCTAGTCCACCCTTCAAGACCCGGGACCCCTGCCGTCTTTCTCGCGCTGCACCCGCGGGCTTTTCGGGGGAATGCAGAGGGGCTCGGGTGGGCGCGGGAGGGGGCCAAGCGCGCGCTTGGAACTCCGAGGGACCGCAGCCCCTGCCCGGGGCTCAGCGGAAGGCTGTGCGCAAGTGTTTTTGAACTTGTTAGTTCCTGACTCGGTGTGACTGGATGCCAGAGACTTGTAAATTGCCTCTAACGTGACTTCCTTCTTGCAAAAGACACCTCCTTCCAGCAGGAGACGGTGCCGGGGGGCCTTGAGTGAGATGCTATTATTACTGGGGAAATCACCCTGTGTTAATATCTACTCCCCCCACCCCCCATGCTGGCTCATTGCTAAAGAGGCTCGTGGCCAGCATCCAACGGCGCAGTACCCTTTAAAAGGGATTTATGCATGAGCTCAGCTAAAAGCAGCCCTGTTCTGTAGTGGCTCGCTTGCTGCCGTGGAGGGAGCCGCGTTTCCTCTGCGCTCGCTTTCCTTTCCGAGACTTGGTCTGTCAGCTTTCTCTCGGCTTGTCCAGCCGCTGTCCAGCCGCCCAGCCCCTCTGCTGGGAGCGATGCATCGACACGTGTGTGTTTGGAAAGTAACGAGAGGCATTCAAGCTGGCGGGGAAAAATAGGGGCCGAGAGAGGCTTCGGGGACCAAATGGTCTCACGATGATAAAATAAAAATAAAACCGAACAGCTTTCTTTTCCTCTTCCTCCGATGTTCACTTATTAACACTTTTTGTAGCAAAAAACAAACAAACAAAAACAACAAATATCCCCAGACACGGTGATCTAAAAAAAAAAAAAAAGACAAAACAAAAACAGAAGTTGATCTGCCCTTCCCCCTTTCAAATTACCTGGTTCAAATGATCTGAAGTCAAGTTTTGTCATCAGTTGAATATACTGTATGAACATACTTTATTTTTAACATTGGGTTTAATTCAGTCTTGATTTCCCCATAAATAGAACATACTCATGACTTTTGTATAATTCTAATTAGATTATTCAAGTCTTTCAGAGGAAAGGCATGCCATGCTAATTTTTTTTAAAAAAGGAAACGCTGCTGAATAACTTCTGTAGTTGTTTAATTAGTTGTTTTTTTTTTTTTTTAAACCTTCAAAACCATCTCCTGCTTAGAACTTTGATTCTAGTTACCTTTCATCTAGGTCGTGGGAATCCGCCTGAGAACAGATCTTTGCAATGTGAGAGGGAGGATGGCCTTAGGGATAGGAGTCAGGGTCAGCTGAGGGAGCTTAAACTTGACGGGAGATGTCGGTCCTGGCCACACCACCATGTGAAAACACGTGCCTGGTGGTGAGACCCTTATAAATGTTGCCTTTCAGAAGATTTCACCAGTGGTCTATGGCTAATTTGGAGAAGGTCTTGGGTGACTTTGGGATGTGCCTTGATGAACAAAAGCTCCTGTTGGTTTAGAGTGGAAGGAAATTCTCTTCTCTCAAAATAGGTTTCCACAGTTTGAAGGTTGTGGTAAAAGAAGTCCTGAAACCTTCCTGAGGAAAGGGGAAGGGAAAAAAAACCTGAAGGACTAAAAAATACTCTCAATAAAAAGTTTTTATAAATAATCACCTGCCTTCTTTAATTAATTCGATGACCTTTACTTTAAAGCGATGTTGAATTAATTTAATTAACAGGAATGTATTGAGTGCTTACACTCATATCTTTACCATAACCAAGGATATAGTTCGTTCAAGGTCATTTGTCAGTTAAACCTTAGCCTGAATCCAGGGAGGGCTGTTTCTGCAAGAACAGATTTAAGTTTTACATGCGATGGGAGTTGAAATATTCTGTACCTCCTTCCTGGCTTGATTTAGTGATAAGCTGCTTTATAGTAAAATCCATGTGTGCAGCCTTTCCAAATGCCTCCCGTAAATTCTTTGGCAGTAGTGACTAGTGCATTAGGATTCGTTTCTTGCCTGTCTTGCCCTGAAATGTCTCTGACCACCAGCAGGGCATTTGCAGCAGGACAGGGAGGGCAGCAGTGAGGCGACTTCTGAACTGGAGTGAGTTTCCCTGCTCTATTAATGTCCAAGAGTCTTGCATTTATTCTCTGCTGATTCTCTGAAGCCTAAAATAAAAATTGCTTAGGTGGAGAGAAAAATAGAATTGTAAATTCAAAAAATAAATAACTGAGAATCTTTCAAGAACTAAGTTAATAGTCACAGTTAGTGTCCGGGGCTGTGTGTAAGATAAGCTCTGTGCTAGGTACTTTAGGTATGCTTCCTGGGAACCGCCCGCCCCTCCCCACCCTTTCCCCCCTGTGTGTGTGGG